TTACATAAACCACACTTCCTTTGTTGATGCATTCATCAATAGACACTTAGGTTGTTCGCATAGCCTAGCTATTGTGAATAATGCTACAGATACCTTTACAAGTTATTGATTTCATTTCCCTTGGGTTTATGCTCACAGAGGAATTGCTGAATCATATGGTAGTTCTATTTTTAATTTTTTGAGGAACTTATATTTTCACAAGCAAAAATAAAGAATACATACAGTGAAGTATTATTCAGCCATGAAACTGTACCAGTGTACAAGTATTGCCACCAACAGTGTACATACAAGGGTTTCATTTTCCCTATACCCTTGCCAACATTTGTTATTTGTCTTCTTGATGAGTCATCCAATATATTAATACTATATTTATATAGACTCTTTCATCATGCAAAGTAGTATCAAGATACTTGAATTCCTTTGATCCTCAAAATATCCCTGAAAGTATATTGAAGATGGTAGGGAAGGTATTATCAATGTCAGTCTCATCTTGTACATAAGAAAACTGAAACTTGCCCATGATAGGCAAAAAAGAGGCAGATCTATATATAATTCAAACTCTTAATGAATCACTACAAATACAAACTATCCATATTAAACAAAATATATATCGATATTATATACAATACATACAAGTCTATATTAACATGGTTGACTAAGCATATATTGAAACCGTTTCTAAATAAGTAATGACATTTAAATACTTAAGCTATGAAAAGTCCTCAAAATTCATAAATAGTTAAACTAAGTAGCTCAGCAAGCACATGTTGGTACATTTTGGGGTAATGGTCAATGCAGGGGCTGACTCTAGGCTACATTTATCTCCTGACCACTTAGAATTCAGAAGGTCATCCTCAGATTTTTCTACACCAGTCAAGTCACACCCAGGAGCCAAACAAGTAATTTAAGACCTTCATTAATTAGCATGTTGCATTTTGGTAAACTTCACTCTTTCTGGAGAATTCCATTGAATAGAGCAGGGTGTCAATTTAATGAAGCCACAGTCATGTTCTTTTTTTTTTTTTTTTTTGAGACAGGGTCTTGCCCTGTTGTCTAGGCTGGAGTGCAGTGATGCAATCATAACTCACTGCAGCCTCGAGCTCCAGAGCTCAAGTGATCCTCTCGCCTCAGTCTCTTAGGACTACAGGCATGCTCCACCACCCCCAGCTAATTTTTTGTAGAGATGGGGTTTTGCCATGTTGTCCAAACTGGTCACAAACTCCTGGGCTCAGGTGATCCTCCCACCTTGGCCTTCCAAAGTGCTGGGTTTACAGGGCCACCGTACCAGTCCCACAGTCATTTTCTTAACGATAAATTGTTTCATCTTATTCCGTCCCACATTTATAGAAAGTAACATAGACAACCCATCTTCGAAATACCAACAATTGAGCAAGCACTCTAAGAATGGCTAATAAACATGTAGAAACATGCTCAACTTTATTAATAATCAGGGAAATTCAAATTAAGATTACAACACCATTTTATAATTACTAAATTGGGGGAAGATTTTAAATCTGACAATATCACATGAGGAACAATAAACATACAGCTAGGCATGTAGTTTGTACAATCACACTGGAAAGCAATTTCATATTATCTAGAGTAAACTTGAAGATAAACATAATCCCCGTTTCAACAATTCAATTTTTAAGTATTTATCCTGAGCTTACTAATCAAAGTGTAGTTGGCTAAACAATAGCATTTGTATCACCTGGAGCTTGTTAGCAATGCAGAATGTCAGGTCTACCCACATTTACTGAATTAGAATCTGCATGTTAACAAGATACCCAGTTGCTATGAATGCTCATTTAGGTCTGAGAAGCACTGTGCTAAAGAAACTCTAGAACATGCACCAGGAGAAATGATCAAGAATGTTCATAACAGCACTGATGGTAACAGCAAAGAACTAGAAACAGCACAAATATCCACTCAGTAGAGAATGGATAAATAAATCATGTCGGAAACATTAGTTACAGAAAAATATATACAGTTTGATACCATTTTTATGAGACTTAAAAACAAGCAAAAGTAAAAATATGTTGCTAGGCATCCATCCATATATGTATATGTGATCAATTCTAAAAGAAACGAGGGAATGATAAACACAATTTAAGGTAACGCTTATGGAGGGGAGAGGTAAAGGAAGGAGCAGACAGTGATCTTCACTAACAGGAAAGATTCTATTTCTTTTTTTTTTTGTAGTTTAGAATGTATTTTATTTTTAGACAACCTACATGATGTGTTTTTCCGTAGGTTCTATTTCTTAAAGTTGAGTGGTAGGTTCAAGAGTTTTTGTTATATTATTATGTGATGTATGTATTTGTTTTGTTTTGTTTTTTTTGAGATGGAGTCTTGCTCTGTTGCCCAGGCTGGAGTGCAGTGGCACAATCTCAGCTCACTGCAACCTCCTCTGCCTCCCACATTCAAGCAATTCTCCTGCGTCAGCCTCCAAATTAGCTAGGACGACAGGCGCGTGCCACCATTCCTGGCTAATTTTTGTATTTTTAGTAGAGACGGGGTTTCACTATGTTGGCCAGGCTGGCCTCAAACTCCTGACCTCGTCACCCACCTTCACCTCCCAACGTGCTGGGATTACAGGCATGAGCCACCGCGCCCAGCCTTATGTATTTGTTTTTATTCATATGTTCATTATTCTTCCATGTAACACAGTTTTAACAGCTTTATTATGGTATACTTTACATACCATAAAATTCACTTGTCTTAAGTGTATACTTCAAAGATTTTTGAATTATGCAATCATTGCCACAAACTGGCAAGAGGAAACTTTCATCACCACACACAAAGAAAATCTCTCTTGGCTCTGCAATCACTACCCCTTCCATCTCTAGCCCCAGACTAATTTGTTTTCTAATTCTAACCTTATTAATTAATAATACTAATATAATCTCATTATGTAATTAATATAAACTAAAACTATCTGTTTTTCATCTCTATAAATCAACATTTTCTGGACATTTAATTGAAATGGAATCATGTAATATGTGACTTTTTGTGCTTGCATTCTTTTAATTAGCATATTTTTTTACATTCATCCATGTCATAGCAATTATTGCTAATTCAGTCATTTTTAAGGATGAATAATATTTCAGTATATGGATGTGCCACATTTTGTTTATTCACCTGTTACTGGACATCTGGGCTGTTTCTAGATTTTGGCTATTATGCTATTATGATTATTCCTATACAAGTCTTTGTGTGAACACTGTTGTCATTTCTCTTACATAGCTATCCAGGAGTGGAATTGGTGGGTCATAACTGGTCATTTTTAAATTTAAAAAAAGAGAAGAAATGGGGTCTTTGTTGCTTTCAAACTCGAATAAAAGAATTAACTAGGGAATAGATGGTGTATTTCTTTCCAGATGCTGGAATGAAAGATAAGGACACATACTGAATACAGAAGCAAGAATCCATTGACATAAAAAGACAGTAAGGGAAAATAAACTAGTTATCTTCTGAGGAGCAGGTATAGTTAAAAAGGAAATCAGGAGGAAGAAAGTTATATAGCAGCACCTTGGAAGGGAGATGATTCACTTCAAAGGTACAACTGCCACTGCTTTTTATACAAACACATGCTTGTGGGATTATCAAATACATTGATAATGTCTATAAACATTTTTAAGGAAATGTAAAAACTTGAAATTCTTTTGACTAGTCTAGATTTTCTGATAAAGATAACTATTTAGGCCGGGCCCAGTGACTCATGCCTGTAATCCTAGGACTTTGGGAGGCTGAGATGGGAAGATCGCCGCTTGAGACCAGGACTTTGAGACCAGCCTGGCAACATCTTGAACTTCTGAGATCCCATCTTGAACTTCTGAGCTGAACGAGATCCCATCTTGAACTTCTGAGCTGAAGCCATTTGCCTGCCTCAGCCTCCCAAAGTGCTGGAATTATGGGCATGAGCCACCACGCCTGGCCCAAGAGACCCTATCTCTGCCAAACAAACAAACAGAAAAGATAATAAGATTTATTGTTTGCAGTGATTTTGTGTGTGTATGTGTGTAGGTGTGTAATACATAAAATGGCAAATGAGAAGAAAAAGTGTTTGGGTCATATTAAACAATGAAGTTGTGAAATACCTGAGATTTTGTTTCATAACCACTAATCTTCAATGTTGAGGATTTAAAATGTATTTGTTCCAGTTTTTTTCTCTGTAATTCCTTAGACATCTGTGCAGATTTTCATTCCCATGTAAGAAGCAATAACAGACTAATGTCATCCTGGACATTTCCAGAAATTGGTTTCTTAGTTGCTCTGAGGAAGATTGCCTTTTAAAAGAAAGTTCTGATCTTTTCTTTACCAGTTCTGCTTGACCCGAATTTGACATTTCTTCAAGAGACAAGTAAATCAAGATCGTATGTCTGTGACATGTATTGCGTATGTTAGTTAGCTGCATCTGACAGCAGTCTGTAAAAAGAAAGATGGTAACATGTTTATTTTAGACATTAGGTAATGTTCATCTTTCATGAAAAAAATTGATTAGACAATTTTGGTAATCAAAAACACTAAATGGGAGTAAAACAAAGGCAGTCATTGGAAAGTACTGCTGTATGGACTTGTGAAACAACTAGTTGTCCAGAGCCTTGCTACAACGTATAGAAATATTCTATTTTCTGTACTTCAGGCGGTTGCATTACAAGATGAAGAAGGGGAAATGTTTTCCACCTCATCCCTCAGGTCCTACTGCAACATAATTTTCTTGAGGTAAGTACCTTTCCTTTGTGTTTCCTTAACACTCTCTATTTCCCCCATCACATACACTAAAAAGATTATCTTTGGTGCATCCGTATTTACACAGCAGTGTTAAATTTGGGCTGCCCTCTGCCCCGCCTCCATCCCCCAGGCTCTTTTCCCTCCCCGCGGGGTCCCCAACCTTAGACTTTAGCTCAGGCCCCGCCCTACTCCCTGGTTGGCTGTTGGGTGGGAGGCTCGTTTCTTCCCTCCCTATTGGTCGCCCAGGGGGAGGCGCGTCTCCCATCTTCTGATAGGTCGCGCCGCGGAGAGTCTCTCGGGTTTGCGGCGCAGCTGTCATTTCCGGGGTAAGATGGCTGCAGTCCGTATGCTGAGAACCTGGAGCAGGAATGCGGGGAAGCTGGTAAGCGGGTTTGGGCAGATCTGAGGCCGGGAAGGAGTGATTTGTCCGGAGTCATCCAGGAGTGGTGTGTTTCGTTCTCCTCCGGTGCCAGGCGTCCAGGGCACGCGTGATGGAGAGGTGAAGGGATGCATGCAAAATAAAGGGCGGAGAACGGAGCCAGTCGACTAGTCTGGAGTGGAGACCCACTCCCTCCCCTTACCTGGAAGCGCTTCTGCAGCGACTCAGCCGTCCTCCTGCTCCATCTGTACCCCGAGGCCCAGCTGGCGTTTCATTGAGCCCCTTCCAGATGCCAGGCATTGGTGATAGGCGCTGTGGATCCAGAGATATATTCGTTTAGCATTTATTGCGTACCCACAGTATGCCAAACACTGGTAACACGACCCCTGCCCTCAAGGAATTTACAATGTGTAGAGGAAGAGGCCGTTCAAGTTATAGAATATCACCAGGGGGCCCTGCTTCCGAATAACTGAGCGGCTTGTACTTCACTCTTTTGGCTTGTACTTCTACATCCGCACTACATACCATTCCTACCCTTTTGTCACCAAGGCTGTGACCCACCACCGTCTCCCCTGCACTTCCCTCTCTTTCTCCCAGTCTTAGCACCAAGCACTGACACATCCCGGTAATGATATTATTTCACCCTATTTGCTTAGTATTTCTTCTTCCTGCCCCCTCTCCCTTTCCCTAGATGTTCCTGCCTTGGTGACCCCGATCTTACAAAAACTTTCAAGAGCCTGCTATGTACCAGGTACTGTGTTAGGCACTGGAGATACAAATATGAAATAGACATCATATCTTCCTTCTCAAGAGATTACAACCTTGTCGTGGAGGACAAAGGAGAGGGAGATAGATATTAAGAAATTACAACCCAGCATGAGAAGTACTGTGATGAAACAAGTGCCTAGAACTACAGGAACACACAGGAGTAGACACCTATGGCGGACTTGAGGGTCAGAGGAGTTACCAGAGGATACTATATGACTTGAGATTTAAGAAGGATAAGTAAGAGATAACTAGGAGAAGAGAGCTCTTCTCAGCAACACTTACATATATTGGTCTCTCTTCTTTCTAGAGCTTTCCATTCTTGTTTTCTGTGACACCAGTCTCCCAATATTATTCTTTCTTCATATTTGGCCACTTCATCCCAATATCCTCTTTCCCTACCAACCTTTTAAATATTGCTCTTTCTAAAGGGCTCTGACTTTGGCCCTCTGCACTTTTCCCACTTTCTGGGTTATCCCATCCACTCTTTGGATATAGTTACCATCTATGCTGATGAGTTCTAAAGTTCCCCAGTCTTCCAACCAGGTCTACTCCAAACCCGTATATCCTACTGTCCTGGAAATCTCCAGTTTCATATGTATATGATGTTTTCCAGCTGCAAGTAAAAACCTAACCAATAAATAGGAAATTATCCGTGAATACAGAGCATCCCCAATTAGATATCAGCTCGCGTTAAGTGGCTTACGATTATCAGTGTCATCATTTCCCTAGTAGTTCATTTGTCCTTTTCCTACTGTTTACAAGAGGGCTGCTACAACTTCTTTTTTTATGTTCAAGGCAGGAAGGAGGAAGAGGACGAGGTTCCAGTCTCATTGACCGGAACAGTGTTACATGGCCACTGCTAGCACAAGGGAGCTTAGAAACACTTGTGTGTTTTTTTGTTTGTTTGTTTTGTTCTTTTTTTTTTTTTTTTTTTTTTTTTTTGAGATGAAGTCTCTCTCTGTCACCCAGGCTGGAGTGTAGTGGTGCAATCTTGGCTCACTGCAACCTCCGCCTCCCAGGTTCAAGTGATTCTTCTGCCTCAGCCTCCCAAATAGCTAGGACTACAGGCACATGCCATCATGCCCAGCTAATTTTTGTATTTTTGGTAGAGTCGGGGTTTCACCATGTTGGCCAGGCTGGTCTCGAACTCCTGACCTCAAGTGATCTGCCTGCCTTGGCCTCCCAAAGTGCTGGGATTACAGTGTAAGCCATCATGCCCAGCAGAAAAGCTTGTCTTTAGTCTTCTCACAATGTCTGCCATAAAGCTTCAAAGCACGTCAGACTCTCCAGGCTCTAGAACTGAACCCTCAAACCAGTGTCTCTTAATTTTTGTTTTTGTTTTTGTTTTTTTGGGAGGAGTCTTGATCTGTTGCCCAGGCTGGAGTGCAGTGGTGCAATCTCGGCTTAATGCAACCTCCACCTCCTGGGTTCAAGCGATTCTCCTGCCTCAGCCTCCCAAGTAGCTGGGACTACAGGCGCGCACCACCATGCCTGGTTAATTTTTGTAATTTTAGTAGAGACGGGGTTTTGCCATGTTGGCCAGGCTGGTCTTGAATTCCTGAATCAGGTCATCCTCCCACCTTGGCCTCCCAAAGTCCTGGGATTACAGGCATGAGCCACTGCCCTGGCCCAGTTTCTCTTGATTTGAGCCTGTAATTCTCTCTGAAGAAATCTAGTCATGATTTTTTCACCCTGCCCTCAACTGGAGATGTCTTGGCCCTTCTTAACTGGATTATATGCCTCCAGTGGTCTTGTCATTTTTCCAACCCATTCTCCATAGTGTAGCCAGAGTGATCTTATAAAGTAAGAGACATTTGATAATGTCATTTTCTTGCTTAAAACTGCCTTCAGCAAAATGTCCAAAATTCAAATGACTATGAGGCAATTTATGATCTGGACCTTTCTAGTCTCTTAGACCTCATTCCTTACCAAAATCTACCCATTCCACCCTCAACTCTGACACTTCTCCACCCTTATTCCACACTAAACTACACTAGAACTCTGTTGAACAACTTGAGTTAATTGCACACACACTGTGCTTTCTCTCTCAACTCCAGACCTTTACTCCAGACCTTTGCACTTGTATTTCCTCTGCTTTAAAGACTCTTGCCTTACTCCCCTGTGGCCGCATCGCAACATACCTCATCCCCTGGGTTACTCCTACTCATCCCTCAGGTCTTACTTCAACATAACTTTCTCCAGCTAGGTTCCCTTAACACACTCTATTTCCTTCATTATAGCACGTGTTATAATCACCTGTTTACCTTTACCTTTCACTGGACTGTGCATTCTATAAGGGAAGAAATTGCATCTGTTTTGTTGTCTGTACAATCCCAAGTGCCTGGCACATTGTAGGTGCTCATAAATATTTTTTAAACGACTCAGTAGAAAAAAGTCAGGCTTTTAAACTTTTGTAAAAAGTTGTAAGCAAAAACAGCTCTTACTCCTGTAGTAAATTATTAAAATAGCTTTATAATGTTGTGTTTTACATTTCCCTAGGACATCATGCATTTGACTCTTGATTAATCATGCCATTTGGAATTTTTCTGTTGTGTCTGTTTTCCTGTAGTAAAGTGTAAGCAATTTGAATTCAGGAACTATATATTGCATCTTATTTAGCTTTGCATTTCCAAGTCCAGTACAATGTCTGACTTTAGGAGTGCTCAACAGCTGCCTATTGAATTATTATTAAATATTTCCTTAATATGCTACTTTGGTGAATGGTTTTATTTCCCTTTATGTTTTTCTGTCCTGGTTGTGATATTGAATTATTAATTTTTTATTTTTATGTTTTTTGAGACGGAGTCTCACTCTGTTGCCAGGCTAGAATGCAGTGGCGCAGTATCAGCTCACTGCAACCTCCGCCTCCCGGGTTCAAGGGATTCTCCTGCCTCAGCCTCCTGAGTAGCTGGGTCTACAGGCACATGCCACCACACCCAGCTAATTTTTGTATTTTTAATAGAGATGGGGTTTCACCATGTTGGCTAGGATGGTCTTGATCTCTTGATCTCATGATCTGCCTGCCTCAGTCTCCCAAAGTGTTGGGATTATGGGCATGAGCCACTGTGCCTGGCCTAATTTTTTATTTTATTCATTATTATTTTTGAGACAGGTTCTTGCTCTGTTGCCCAGGCTGGAGTGTGGTGGCATGATCTTGGCTCACTGTAGCCTTTACCGCCTGGGCTTAAGTGGTCCTCCTTCCTCAGCCTCCCAAGTAGCTGGGACTACAGGCATTCACCACCACACCCGGCTAATTATTTTGATTTTTAGTAAACAAGGTCTCACTACGTTGCCCAGAATGGTCTTGAACTCCTGGGCTCAAGTGATCCTTCCACTTTGACCTCCCAAAATGTTGGGATTATGGGCATGAGCCACTACACCTGGCTGAATTATTTTTTAAAATCAAGGAAAGACCTATTTTAGTCAAACAATTGCATTAAGAGTTAGACTACATGTGTAGTTGTTCAACCAGGATATATTTGAGAATGAAAATGGTGTTATTAATAATTGCCTTGAATTACTAGGGGTGAATTGGGTGTCACCTCAGGCAAATTGGTACAGATGGTCCCCATAGAATTAGGTGTCTTTAGTATTGTTCGTACATGAATTTAGAATTGCTTCAAATATAAAATATATAAAACTGGTAATTCTATAAGCATGCCTTTTTAAAATTGGAGGTTTAAATCCTTATGCTTAATTTACTAGTCTAGCTGGGTGTGGTGACTCACACCTGTAATCCCAGCATTCTGGGAGACTGAGACAGGAGGATTGCTTGAGCCCAGGAGTTTAAGACCATCCTGGGCAAAAAAGTGAGACCCTGTCTTTATTTTATTATTATTTTTTGAGATGGTATTACAGGCGTGAGCCACTGCGCCCAGCCAACTCTGTCTTTGAAGAAAATTAAAAAATATAATTTACTAGTCTAATAGTCTGTTTCTAGAAAAAAAATTTAGAATTCTAGCTTGAAAAATTATTTTTTCTCCTCTTTCCTGTTGCCTGTTAATCCATCTATTCAGCAGCTTCACTGTGCTTTTAGCCTTCTCCTCATAGCCATTCAATTGCTATTATATTAATCATATACTGCCTATGGTACTTTTGTTGCTTTTTTTCTTTTTCTACTGTTAATTACCTCAGTCAGGAGCCTGTTGCTTTGCGTCTCAGATACTACACAGTACTCTCCCCTTCTTACCTGTGGTCTCAGTTACCCACGGTCGACTGCAGTCTGAAAATAGGTGAGCACAGTACAGTAAGATATTTTGAGAGAGAGACCACATTCATAAAACCTTTATTAAAGTATATTATCATAATTTTTCTCTTTTATTATGTTACTGTTATTACTCTCTTACTGTGTCTGATTTATAAATTAAACTTTATCATAGGTATGTATGTATAGGAAAAACATGGTATATGTAGAATATGTAGGATTCACTATTTGGGGGGTCTTGAACGTGTCCACTGCCCATAAGGAGATAAGAGAGGAATACAGTAATAGTTTCTTTTTTAAAAAAAGATCCTTTTTTGATAATTTTGGTATGTAATAGTTTCTTGACTTCTCCCTTTCTCTCCGGATTTTATCTGTTGTAATCTATTCAGTAAACCACTACTAATATCCTAATCCTTTTTCTTCAATAACCCATAATGTATGAGTTAAGACTCCTTATACTGACATTATAGTCATCAACCATTTCCTCCTTGAGCTGTTTCCACTGCTCTTTTATACCTTTGGTCAAACCAAATCAAGCTGCTCAGTGTCCCAGCAGATATGCTAAGTAAATTTCTGCTGTAGTTTATTTATGCTGTTTCCTCTGCCTTAAAAGTGCCCTTCTGCTCTTTTATTATGGAGGCTTATTATGCACAGTGCAGCTTAAATCTTCCCCCAAGAAGCCTTCCCAGGTCACACTAATGTGAAAAAAAACCCACCAGACCCCTTTACTTAAACTCCTTTTTTTTTTTTTTTTGAGACGGAGTTTCGCTCTTGTTGCCTAGGCTGGAGTGCAATGAGATTACAGGCATGAACCACCATGCCCAGCCTACTTAAACTCCTTTATCACTTACTGCCTGTGCCTTTTTTTGTGTGTGTGTGAACCTATGGATTATATTGAAGAAGGCTATGTCTCTTATTACAAAAAGTTAGAGCATGCATGGCCATGCTTGAGTATGTTTGTGTGTGTGTGTGTGTGTGTTTATTTTCTCACATAGGTTGTAAACTCTTTGAAATTAGGGATTATTTCTCCTACTTCTAGGGTCTTTGACATCAAATTTACTTAGCTTCAGAGCTTGATTGTTCCACTTATTTGCTGTGTGACTTTGGACAAATTACTTCACCTTTCCCGTCAGTTTCCTGTGTGTTGAAGAGGGCTAACGTGTATGTTCCACAGGGAAATTGTAAGACATAAAAATGATGTCTGGGTCAGCCATCATGGCTCATGCCTGTAATCCTAGTCCTTTGAGAGGCCAAGGTGGGCGGATTGCCTGAGCTGAGGAGTTCGAGACCACCCTGGGCAACATAATGAAACCCCGTCTCTACTAAAATACAAAAAAAAAAGTTTAGCTGGACATGGTGGCACATGCCTGTAGTCCCAGCTACTTGGGAGGCTGAGGCACAAGAATCGCTTAAACCTGGGAGGCAGAGGTTGCAGTAAGCTGAGATCTTGCCACTGCACTCCAGCCTGGGTGACAGAACAAAACTCCATCTCAAAATAAAAACCAGCAACAAAAAAGATGATGTCTGAAAAGACTGGTTTTCCTTTTTCTTTTTTTTGGAGACAAGGTCTCTCCTATCACCTAGGCTGAAGTGCAGTGGTGTGATCTTGGCTCATTGCAACCTCCACCTCCCAGGTTCAAGCGATTCTTTTGCCTCAGCCTCCCGAGTAGCTGGGACTACAGGTGTGTGCCACTATGTCCAGCTAATTTTTGTATTTTTAGTAAAGAGGGTGTCTCGCCACATTGGCTAGGCTGGTCTTGAACTGTTGACCTCAAGCGATCCACTCACCTCAGCCTCCCAAAGTGCTGGGATTACAGGCAAGAGCCACCGTGCCTGGTCTGTCTGAAAAGGCTTTGAAAGTACTCAGCACTTGGGAGGCACTCGATAAATGTTAAGCTTGGCAGTTTGTACTGCCCCTCATCCATGAATAGCTCAACTGGAGTTGTGTTGTTGTTGAAGGTAAGACCTTCTAATAGTTTAATTTTCTTTCAAACGTTTTAAAAATATCAACAATTTTATTTAAATTAAGGTGGATCTATATACTTCAAAACTTTCCTTTTATTGTGCCTAAGTTTTATGTCTGATGAAACAGGTTGATTCACTCCTCTGATTTGATTATTGACCAAGAGTCAGGATTATGGGAGCTGAAGGAGAAAGCAAGGACAAACAAAATGGAAATGTTTGGGAAAGAGAATTCTTTCATTGTCTTCTAGTTTTAAGCTATCAATTTTAATTATTTTAGTTAGGCTTTGTATTTCCTGAATATTAATGTTAATAAGAATAAAATGTAGATATTATAAAGATTAGTTGATTTAGGGTGATCTCTAAAGTTAAGATGAATGATTTAAGATTATTTATGTTTTAGGAAAGGGATCTTCAGTTTTTCTTTGCCTTCAGAAATCAGTAATAGCTTGAAATTTAAAGTAAAACATAAGAATTTAAATGTATTGTTCTTGTCAGTAAACCAAACTTTTAATTTTATGTTATTTGCTATCAGAATAAAACAAAAATTCTAGTTTATAAATATGTATTAAAGCATAACTGTACTATATAATGTTTATTATAACATAGCCTTTAAGAGCTAATCACCACTAATGTACATGATTTTTTTTTTTTAAGTAAAAGTGACTGTTACATACATGAATAAGTTTCACTTATCAGTATTCCTATACTAAGAAGGTTAGAAATTTCTGCAGAGAAGTAAGCTCAGGGTTTTAAAATTAAATAAGTAAATACATGTCTGTAGTTTATGTTTACAGTGTGATGTAGTTAGGTATTAATAGCATTAAAATATTAACTTTCAAAATAAGATATTATGGCCCGGCATGGTGGCTTGCACCTGTAATTCTAGCACTTTGGGAGGCTGAGACAGGAAGATTGCTTGAGCTCAGAACTTCAAGTCCAGCCTGGGCAATATAGTGATACCTTATCTCTACAAATAATAAACAAAATTAATTGGGTGGGGTGGCATGCACCTGTGGTCCCAGATACTTGCAAGACTGAGGCAGGAGGAGCCCTTGAGCCTAGAAGGTCAAGGCTTCAGTGAGCTGTGATTGTACCACTGCACTCCAGCCCGGGCAACAGAGTGAGACCCTGTCTCAAATACACACACACATACACACACACACACACACACAATACCTTTCAGACACTTAGGTTTTAATATATAGAGTTGAATACTTTTGGGCCTACTGATTTCTATAAGAGGTTTTTAAATAATATTATACTAAGGTATATGTAAAATAGTGAATGCTAAAGAGTCATCTATAAGTTACCATAAGTAAACTTGAGGGTATCATACTATACAAGTGTTTCATTGTTTTTAGATGCTAACTGTTACTTTAGAATTTTTTAGTAGTTTTAGTTCAGGAAGTCCAATGATTGAAGCATACATATAAGCTGACGTATTTATACATCAGAATACACTGTTAAAATGTCTTTACTTTCAGAAGGAATTTTGAGCAAGGATCATAAATGTAACAAATCTAAATCTAAGGATATCATATTTCTATTGTGATAATGGTTCTACTTTTAGAATAGAATTGAAATTCAGTTTATACTTAGAGATAAGCCAGTGTGATCGTTTATAAATGGTTTTACTTTTTGTTTTCTCATCTGTAGATTTGTGTTCGCTATTTTCAAACATGTGGTAATGTTCATGTTTTGAAGCCAAATTATGTGTGTTTCTTTGGTTATCCTTCATTCAAGTATAGTCATCCACATCACTTCCTGAAAACAACTGCTGGTAAGTATGATTTCAAAATAACATGTATAAAATAATGTTTTGTACCTCATTCAGTAATATGTTTTAGTAGTTGATTGAGACTTTTTAAACCAAAAAAAAGTTGACTCTGTATTTCTAGCTGGGCCCTTCCCATCTCCCCACATTTTCCCAATTCTCACTTTCTTTTTTCTCATCCCTCCTTTTTATATACTATCCTTAACACCGGTACCCCTTTTTAAAAGAAAATTTTTTTTTAGAGACAGGATCTCACTCTGTTGCCCAGGTTGGAGTGCAGTGGTGCAATCACAGCTCACTATTACCTGAACTCCTCGGCTCAAGTGATCCTCCTGCCTCAGCTTCTTAAAGAGCTGGGATTGCAGGCATTAACTTATCTCACCCAGCACTTGTGTCTTTATAATGTTGGGAATGGGTTGTGTTGGGCCATCTGTTTATCATCTGGCTCATCTAAGTGCAATAGTCAGCATTGATATGACTTTCTCAGTCAAGGTAAATTGTTGACAATAGAAGTATCTTTGTGTTGTTGTACATATTGTGGTATTGTTTGTTGAAAGAAGCACTTAATCTATCATGTGAACATAGTGTGATGAAACCAGCCTGATTTAGTCCTAAATAGAAAATTCCCTGACTTTTACCATTTACTTACTTTTCCCCCAGCTTTTTCTACCCTCTGTAAAGAACTTGAAGGATTAAGTATTAGATTTGGCAAGGGCATAAGAACTGTTTTTTCCCTGATGTTCTATTTAGAACCCTGATAAAGAACCATAGACTTTTGTTATACCATTAAGTTTTTGACAGATACATGGGAGCTTAGTTCATGCTGGCAATGAAAAATGGGGGAATTCCAGGCAGACCCCAAGTCAGCCTTTCCATGCTCTTTTTTTTTTTTTTGGAGACAGAATCTCACTCTGTTGCCCAGGCTGGAGTGCAGTGGCACAATCATAGCTCACTGTAACCTCAAACTCATGGGCTCAAATGATCCTCCTGCCTCAACCTCCTGAGTAGATGGGACTACAGGAGTGCATCACTACACCTGGCTAATTTATTTATTTATCAGGGTGTTGTCACAGTGTCCAGGCTGGTCTAAAACTCCTGGATTCAAGAGATCCTCCCGCCTCTGCCTCTCGAAGTGCCGGGATTACAGGCATGAGCCCTGCACCCAGCCTTCCATGCCTTTTCTTTCTTTCTTTTTTTTTTTTTTTGAGACAGGGTCTCGCCTCTCAAAGTGATGGGATTACAGGTGTGAGCCACTGTTCCCAGCCATCTTCCGTGCTTTTTCTATGTCATCCACTATAGCCTAAGATATGTAAACTTTACCTTCACTACTTTTACAAACATTTCCATTTTTTAAAGTTGATCTTTTTTTGTTACTTCCCAGAGAAAATAGAGGTCATTCAAGTAAATACTTCAACTTCCTGGTCCAGTCTGTAAACACTTAGGAGCTTTGGGTTCCTGGATACACCAGTTCCAGGCTACTTGGATTCCAGGTCTACAAATTACTAGCGGTGTACCTTTGAGCAAGTTTCACCATCTGGGAAATGGGAGTAATCATGGTATTTAGCTAATTGTATTCTTGTGAGAATTCATTCGTTCAACAATGAATATTTATTGATCACCTGTGTTCCAAGGCACTGCTCTAGGTGCTTGGTATATATCAGTACACAAAACAAAGATCCTTATACTTGGGTGGATTAAATAAATTAGAATATGTAAAATATTTACATATTCGAATACAGCTTAAGTGTGCTAATACTGCTTACATATACTAATACTGCTTTCTCTGGACACTTATTAAGGTTTCTCTTCTTCTGCTCCTGTTTTAAACTTCAGTGTCTAATAGGATCCCATCCTTTGCCCTCTCTTCTTGTACTACATCTACACACATGCCTTCAACTCTCACCTCGTTGAACACTTCTGAATCTGTAGCAGTAGCTCAGATTTCTCACCAACTGCTAACAGTTGGGAGGGGAGGGGAGAAGGAGGGGGAGAGGGAGGGAGGGAGGGAGGAAGGAAGGAAGGAAGGAAGGAAGGAAGGAAGGAAGGAAGGAAGGAAGGAAGGA